CTATCTTAGGAATTTTTTTAGCCTAGCTCTACTCTCAATTTAATGCTAGTATCAACTATGCTAATTATTTATCTCTTCTAATCTAATTTTACTAATTTTATAGCCTTTTTAAAGTAATAAAAGAGTTTCTATAGCCTTAAAGGAAAAATTATTAATCAATCTTTAATCTACTAGCTATTAAGATAAAAAAATATACTAAGAGGTTTTTATAAAAGTCATGTTTAAATATCTTAAATTATTATTGAATCAAGATATCAAATTAATAATTAAAATTATTAATTAAAAATTAAATTTTTATTATAATTTTACCATATAATTATATTATAACACAACAACGCTCAAATTGTAGAAAAGTTATCAATCAAATTTGATTAACAAACTCTTAGAACTGTAAGCGTGTGCTATCAAATTTTTTTGGAAGATTAATCTAAAGCTTTTTATATTATTGAATAGGTGAATTTTCTTCTTGAGGTACAGGTGCTATTGCCTCTTTGGATGTAAAAGTTTAAAAAATTGATTACATTATAGGCTGATCTGTTCTAAGTCTTGTATCACCATAAAATCTTGCAATAAATCCTTCAATTTCAATAGTTCTATGAGCTAAATCATTTAGTGTATTTATAATAATATCTAAGTTGGACTTGGAAGATTCAACCATACTAACATCTTCACCTCCAGCCATCCTAGAAAAAAAAAATCTAAAAGAATTTTAATTTAGAAGAAGATACTTTGTAATCTCTAAAGTATTTAGATGCCTTTAAGAAGATGGGTAATCTACTCTCTATCAAGAAGAATCAAGCTCTATTATTGATAAGAGAGCAATCTTTACAAACTATCATGGATATATTTTATATGAAACAAAAAATAAAACTAAACCAAAAAGTTTTAATATAAAAATTAACAAGAACTTGATTAAATCTGATGAATACAAGATCAACACTGAAAAGGTGAGCTAAAGTTCAAAGAGTTGTGTTGTAAAAATTGAGGATCTTCTCAACTTTAATTCTTATATATACTAAGTATTAAGAAGATTATCAAAAAGTTTCCATATTGCTTGAAGATGAAGCAACCTTAAGAAGCTTCACAAGAATTTTTTATGTTGCTTGAAAGTGAAGCAACCCTAAAAAGCTCCTCAAAGAACTTCATTAATTTTCTTAAAACTTTCTAGTACCTATTAAAATATTCTAAGAATATTCTAAAATCTTTTAGAAATCTTTTTAGAATATTTTGAAATCTTCTAAAATCTAATAAAATATTCTTAGAATATTCTTTTTGATTGTTCATAATACCAGATAAGATATTGCAACTATTACAACCTTCAAGATGACGTAATAGACATGAAGATCCTCAAGAACATGTTCTTTCTTAAAAAGATGGTAAAATATAATGTGTTTGGTATCACAACCTCAAAAGAGACTCCTAATGATTAGAGATATTATTGAAGGTAGAAACCACTTTTGATAGTATTTCAAATATTTTATTTGAAGGAAGTTATGAAAGCTTCAACAATGATTATATATCAAGGTGGTTATCTCACCCTGATATGAAACACCATTAATGGCTAAGAAGACCTATCAACCACCTTCAAATGGAGCAAAGATTAGAATATGTAGTAAACACAATTTATTGCATCTTGAACTTCTTCAACATATGCTTGTTGCTTCTTGTGGAACTTTTTCCTAGAAGGAGAAATAATGGCATAAACATACATATTTATCTATATAAGAAGTATTGGATATAAGATAAATGTAGGTAGATTTGATATTAACTTGTGGCAAAACTTCATAGATGTGTATTTGACTTTCTACATATTTGTAGTTGATTGATAAATTAAAAACTTGGCTAATAAATTAGCTAAGTATTGCATGTGTTAATAATTTGTGGAATAAACTAATCATGTGGCATACATATAAGAAAATTGACTTATAAGTCAAACATGTATCTTGCAAATTGAATACATATCAAAGGTCTTATATGATGCAGCCATATACTTCCTAATTAGATAGTATATGTCGAGGCAAGAATGAAACTTTCTTCATACTTTCAATGCCTTTTTTGTTCTTAATCTTGTTTCAAGAGACTCTAGCTTTTTTAACTTTGACAATAGCCATTTGAATTTAATATTATACCATCTCTAAGTAATTATCTAATCTTTTAAATGGCATAAGAATGTATTGATTTTTTGGTTCTTTGATATTCATGTCCTTGATAAATACTTGTATTAGATTCTTTAGATAAATAGTTAGTAATTACATAAAAAATAGAAATATTTTATTTCTTTAACTATAAAAAATAACTTATAATATATTAGTAGCTAGATGGATGGTTAAAGCATTGATGCATAATGGTACTTATCTGTAGCAATTTTTAGAATATAAAGCCTAAGACACAAGATCTTTCAAAAGTATAAATTGATGGACTTTTATATCTATTAGATAACTAATTTGACATCAAAATATTCCATTAGTTGATATATTTATATGATTTAGAAATTATTTGATAAAAATATTAAATATATATGAATTAAAAATTATTATTTCATCTTCAAATTTCCTCTAAAAAATAAATATGGTTTAAATTTTATTTATATATTTATTAATTTTTTTAAATATATTGGAATTTGATTCTATAAGGTTAGAATATACTAGATTAAAGGCATGTGGTATAAACAAGCAAATAATCTAAGACAATGGAATGATGCAATAATTTGATTTAATTTATTTCCTTAAAATTACATATAGAAATATTCTTAATTTTATAAACACATCAACATTGGATTGAGACCTTATATCAAGGCTCTTTATTTTTTTAAGATAAAGATTAGATAGGAGTCTATAATATTAACAATTTAGCATGGTCTAATCTTTTGCTTCAAATTTCCAAAGATAAAAGACAAAGATAAGAAGAAAAAAAATTCTTGTTATAATTGAATAATATCTAGAACATCTACACATAAAATAAGGTAAGTTTTGTTTTAAGAAAAGATCCTAAAATAATCACATTGCATGAATTCTATACAAAAATAGATATGGATAATTGGAAGATAATATTGATGTATCTTTACAAGATGGTAACTTGGCAAAAAAAACAATGTAGTTGCACATCTACTCTTATTGTTTACAACTTCTACAAAACTTAGAATTTGACTCTAATAATTTTTTATCAAGCAATAAGTGTTCTCTAAAAAGATATCAAGCCAAAAAGAGCAAAAATACTACTAATAAAAGATCTCTTTATTAATCTAATCTAAATCTGATTAAAATTTAAAATAAATCAAAAAGTTGAATAAAACTATATAGAAAGAAAGAAAGAAAAAGAGAGATTAATTAATTAATCTAGCTTATTTTCCATTGAAATAGTATGTTAAATATATTGAAGAAAAAACTACAAAAAGATATCAATAATACATGTCTTATTAGTACCTCCAAAACAACAAAAACTATCATATATGGATTTTAAAAATATCCAAAAGCAAAACCAATATAGGATTGAGAAGCTATTTTTCTACACTTTTTGAGTAAAAATGGAATCTAAGCAAGTATATACACAACCCTAAACTAACAACAAACAATCTTTGCTAACAACCTTAATTACTTCAAAGGTATGAAAGCACTTTTGGCACTAATTGTTAAACTTTGCTTTTGGACTATTTAGAAGCAACATAAGAATATAAAATTTAGGAAATTTTATTGGCCAAATGACAAAGTAAAAAGAATAATATGGTATAGATTTTTAATCCAAAAAAAAAAACAAAACAAAACAAAAAAAAACAAACATGTTAGAAAAAGACAAAAGAGAATATCATAAAGGAATTTTAAAATCAGCCAATTCTTTTTTGCAATTTGAAAAATCATGGATTAAGGATAATTACTTTAGTTGTTGAAATGCAAGTTCATATGTACAATTGAACTACATACTCTCACCTAAGATATGTAAAAGACTTGCAAGAACCTAAAAATAAGACTCTTTTGTATTGGCCTTATTATTAAACAATAAAGGAATAAATCTCCTAAAAAAATTTAAATATATATATATATATATATATATATATATGATTGTAATTTTCTTGAAAAGATAAGCAATAATTACAAAAATTTGGTTCACTTTTGTATCTTGCTTAAAGCAATCAGATATGGATTTATACATAATCATGACTTTTGTAATATTTTAACTTCTTGTAATAATATATTATGATGTCCCCACATTCTAATGAAATTATAAAAATAATAATAATAATGGAATAGTTCTTAAAGGAGGAATATTAAATTGACCCATCTATATCTTAAATCAATCCACCACATGACTTTGTGGTTTTAAATTGCCCCAATGATCTACTTGATTAGCCCCAATTCTATTGCAATAGAGATTTTTATTTATTTTAAACCTAAGTGATATTTTGATTGTTAATTCAAGCAAACAGCTTAGGATATCTTGTTGGTGGGGCACCAGTATCCAAACACATGAAATCAAAACCTAATTAAAATATCACAAATCCACAACAACTAGGAGGAGACTTGAATGTTTATGTACACAAGTATTTTGTGGTTGGTCAATTTAAGATTTAGACAAATTAATTTATCATCCTCCTTTTCACAAGGGGTGCTCAATCAACCAAAGTTTACATAGAAAAGCATTTGATTTTCTCTACACATTGTGAAAATAGCTCTATGAAAATATCGCAAACTCTAGGAGAGTCGGAACAAGTGGGGCACACGAGCTCCATGGCTTAGGGCACCTGCGGCTGAATCAGACTTTGGCACATGCTGTTCATGTTTTCACTCACAAGATGGTAACCTCCACGTCTTGATAGACATTATTAAATAACCCATCTGCGAAACCCACTGGACACTGCATCTCTTATACCGAAGCATCATTGAGATCATTTCCAGCCAACTTTTTTGCACCGGAAGAATGTCGGATTCAATCGAAGGATTCCAATTTCAAAAGATGCCACCAAATTTCGAAATCCCCGCTCGCTCCCTCGCTCCATATTGTACCATTCATTCCGTCGATGAGATGAACGAACTTCAATTCAAGCTTCCGTTGGTTAGGAGTTCGTCACTCTGGTCCCTGGTTCGCAAATCCCGTGTATTTCACGAGGGGAGACTTGTCTTGTCCGTCACCATCCTTCGCCAAACTAACCCATCGAATTCCGCCATAGCTGAAGGGCTTCATCTCGGGTGTGGATGCTCTCACCTAGTCTACCAGTATTTGTTCCCCTGTGTCTTCGTTACTGCAATTTCACATCACAGTTGCATATTAGATGAACCCCGAATAGGTGTGTGTGTTAAAGACAATCTAAGTAGAGGCCAGCGCGCGAGGAGGTGGTGAGCGAACACCTCCGAATGGGTGGATGGAATCGTCTGGCTTCGTGTTGATGCGCAATCAGCTCATGAAGCTTGTGGTGCTCATTCAACAGGTGGGTTACTTCTCCACCCCTCTTTTGCTTCTTCTTGGGGGTTGGTGATGTTCAGTGTAATGTGGGTTCGGAACTGCTTGGATCCAGCGAGTGTGGGTTGTCTTCTGGGAGGATTTGTTTAGTACGAAGAGTCAGCGATCGATGTGAGAGAAAGAACGGAGGAATGTGGGTTCGGTCGCCTTGACTTGGAGCAAGGCATGAGAGAGTCATTCGCGTTGAGTGTTGAGTCATTGAAGACGCCATAGCTGGTTCAGGGGGGCATAAGAGAATGGTGATGATGCAGAGAATGGGGTAGGGCTTTGCAGAGCTGGAGAAAGTGAAGGTTGGTATATCTGGAAGGGAAGGGAGAGGAGAAGATGAAGGGAAGGAAGGACCCTTTGGGATTGCGAGGAGCGACGAGGGATTACAGAATTGTGTACGCTGTTGTGATCGGCCTGACCTTGGGAGCCCTGTGGGCCTATCTCAGACCCCATGGCATGTCCACCTCATCCACCTTCGGCTACGATCGCTTGGATGGCTCTTCAAGCAAGGTAGGCAGTTGTCGCCTCATTTCGGTTGACCCAAGATCTATAGACACACCCAATTTTCATGAGAAGAATGCTTTTGCTTTGTAATTGTTGCCCGAGTTAGGGTTTTCAATATGTCTTTTAATTGTTTCAAAATATAAAAAGAATTAAAACTTGTAGTAAATGTGCCTGTGAAACCTGAATACCTATGAGAAGATTGTTATCTGAGGATAGATCGCTGTATGTATCGACATTTGACTCCATCTTCCTGGAGACGTCTTGCGGGTCATGCAGCAGGATGGAGCCATCTTGTCTTTGGAATCGAAAGTGGCGATGCTTGAAAGGGAAGTCAAGCGCCTCAAGGTCGAAAACACCGAACTAGCTCAACTCAATTTAAAGAATGCCTTGTTGGAGCAAGAGGCTGCTGCAGCTAAAAAGCAGCTGAAGGCGGTGTCTCCTCCTGTCAAGGTAGGGCCTCCTGGCACTGTAAAAAGCATGCGTACAAATCAGGAGGTGCACCCAGATGAATCGACCAATCCCAAGCTCTCTGCGCTTCTGAAGAAGGTTGCCGTGAATGGAGAGCTGATTGTTGGCATCTCGAACAACAATGTCCGAGATATGGTCCAGGTAATGTTCCACACAAACCATGTAAATCAACTCACTCAGTAATGGTTTAGTAGCAAATGTTTCTGCTGGTAGTGCAACCCCATCATCCTGCTATTATCTTCGTCTGGGTCCACGCTTACCCTTCGCCAAACCCTCCACAGATTTGGTTTGAGAGCATCAAGCGGGTGGGTGTTACAAATTACTTGGTGGTTGCTTTGGACGATGAGATTGCCTCTTTTTGTCAAGACCATGATGTGCCTGTCTACAGACGAGACGCCACGATTTCGAAATCACAAGCTGGAACTGGCGCCAATCATGCTATCTCAGGTGACCCATCCTCCATCCCCCACAATCCTTACCACAACCAATCTTTCTACTTCATCTTGAAGTAACATTTCCTTTTTTTAATGACTTATTTGTCGAACTCCTGCTGTTGCCCTAATAGGTTTGAAGTTTCATCTTCTGCGAGAGTTCCTAGTGCTGGGGTATAGCATCCTCCTCTCCGACGTTGATATTGTCTACCTTCAAAACCCCTTTAACCATCTCCACCGTGACTGTGACGTGGAGAGCATGTCGGATGGCTTCGACAATACCACAGCCTATGGGTACGATGACGTTATGACTGACCCTTCTATGGGCTGGTCCCGCTACGCACACACCATGCGTATCTGGGTGTTCAACTCTGGCCTGTTCTATATTCGCCCTACCGTCCCCTCTATCGAGCTCCTCGACCGCGTGACTGCCAAGCTGACGAAAGAGAAAGCTTGGGACCAAGCAGTCTTCAACGAGGAGCTCTTCAATCCTTCACATCCTGGTTACGAGGGCCTCCATGCCTCCCGGCGAGTACTCGACTTCTATCTGTTCATGAACAGCAAGGTATTGTTCAAAATACTTCGCAAGGAAAAGGATTTTGCAGAGTATAAACCCGTGACCATTCATGTGAACTATCATCCTGACAAATACGATCGCATGCTTGCCATTGTGGAGTACTACGTGAAGGGGAATACGAAGGCTTTGCAGCGCTTTCCGGATGGTTCTGAAAGGTAATGCTGTCTAATATTGGCATTCGATAGATGAGGCTTCTGAATTGAAGGTCTCTTGAAACTTAATTTTTCGCCTCGTGCCCGTAAAAGTTGAGTTTGGGCTATGAGGTGTGACCATGGGAGACGACAGTTGTAGAAGAACAGCTAATTTTATTACCAGGAGAAGCAATCAAGTACTTCACTGCTCATCTTTAACTAATTCTTGAAAAGTCCCCTGTTTTTCGCCGCGACTAGAACTATTTTTTTTCCCATTTTCAATCTTCTATTCATCTTGTGGTGTAACTTAAGACTATGCTCCACGAAGCCGTATGGGCTCACCCGGCAAATAACCACATGCCCACCACTCAAAATTGCTATTCTACGGACATAAGTTTGATGGTTGAAATAATCTAAGTTCAACTTTCCAAGGTTCTTTTCCATGAGAAAACGTACAGAGATGGAAGCCAAGACGGAGCAGATTAGAAACACGTATGTAAGTCTACAATATTTAGGCTAATTACACCCAAATCACTTCTAGGATGGGACTTCGTTACCATACAAGCTCCGGTTCGACTGATTCTTTTGTTCTAAATCTTTCCCGTCCAGGAATGAACCGAATCATCCATTCCTCAATCGCTCTAAATGGTTGTCCGTAGACTCATGGTACTACACGGTAAACGTGATAGTCCCGGCCAGCTTGATTGCAGCGAACCTGCCTGCATGCTCACCACTGGTGTGAAGAAAATGATGAGCAACATTGTACCCAGTTTCTGGAACGTACACCCCCTCAAATCGCAAGCAAAATCTTTCTCATGAAAATCTCAACTGCAAATAGTATATGATTCCCTTCGGCCACTGACTCCGAAGCTCTCGGCACATTAAGGCTGGCACGGAAGCTTGAAGGTAGTCATGCTTCCTGAATGTAATTGCAAATTCAAAGCAAGTCAATATGAATTTGATTTTACATAGTTATTTTACAATTATTTTAAGAGTTGGTGGTAATAAGTCTAATAGCAATTTTCACTACGTAAACAACAATTGCACTATATAAACGACACTGTGTATGATTACGTTAATTTATCAATAAAAGATGATGTTTTTGATAGTATAATCTGATGTATATCGGAGAAGCTTAGGACACATTAAGATATTATATCCCACTTCAGTCGCAAGATTATTTTCATGTTGCAAGTAGGATAAAACAGGTAGTACATGCGAAACGCACACGAGAATGCGATAAAATGTTACATATAGAAACTAATAACTTTTTGAGTTTTATGGTACCTACACATGAAAAGATTGACTACGAGGCCACTGTAATGTTATCACAAAACCTACCCGCTACCACAACGTGATTGCCACTCCAACAAGTTCTAAATTAGTTGCTAAAATAACTTACTACTAAGAAAAAATTCTAATGTTCATGTGACTAGTAAATCAATCCAATTCTTTTGTAATGTGATACACGTTGGATTATGACTGCAAACTTGACAAACACTCTTCAATACACATTAGATTGTGTATCGCCATTCGTCAAGGTTTTCTGCCCCTCATCTACAGACGAATGCAAATCAAATGTAGAAAAAAGGAGATTAAGAGTATAAAAGCATACGTATGCACAAGAATGAATTCAATTACTATGCTTCAACTGTTGATGCGCGTGCCATGCTTTCAAGAAGTTCAACTAGGAAATAAAAAATATTAACAGGTACTAGGAAACAATGTTCAGAATTCAAGAGCAATTAAAAGGGGACTGGCAGTAGAACTGCAAGCATAAAAGCCTGAATTGGGCTTTATTACTTTACCTGAAAACCTACTGAAGTGGGCTTTAAATACCATTCAAAGACCCAAATAATAGAATATTGTACATACAGTTGGGATGCCTCCCATGGATAAAACTGACCCATATGCATAGCACTCAGTGACACATCTACCCAATGTTCCAGTGAAGGAAAATAAATAAACAAACAAAATCTTGTGGTAGATACAGGTGACATCATTTCCTACAAACATGCACAGTACAAAATCAGTTGGATAGCGTCTGAGGACTGCCTTCTTCGTACTCTGTATCCCAATTTTGGTAGAGAAGAGCAGCAGCAGCCCGAGCTGCCACAGAAGAGCTATACTTCTTCCGCAAAGATGCCAGCAATGCATCATGAGATTCCTGAATGTCAGACAATTACTTGATCGTTAATGGCTTTACTAAGAGCTTGTTTTACAAAAAACAAAAAGTAAGAACCAACTAACGGGGACAGCCATGAGAAAGACACTGCCAGGTTCGAGAATTTGGAAAAGTTGCAATGTCCAGGTCTATTAAGATCGGCTGAAGAGGCTCCCAGAAATAATTCATGTGAGGAGCAAAGCACAATGCTCCACACTAAATGATAATGGAAGTATTAATGATGATAATTTTAAATTAGTTGTTTCAGAATAGTTCTAAATGACTTCACTCAGTGCATTGCTAGGGAGCTAGATACGATTTCTGCAATGGTAAATATTCAAAAAAGTTGATTTAAATCACAAAATTGCATGTATGAAACGACAAGATCCCGGATAGATGAGTCAGCCATGTGATTGGAGCTAGCTACAGCCCATACCTTCAAGACCCGAACTTCCTCTTCAAGAGCAGCTGCTGTTTCTTTCTGAGAGCCAAAATAACAATCACACTTTCATGTTAAGACCCTCAAATCTGCACATAGAACGCGACTTGAGAATAACAAAAACTCGAAAACAGATATTTGTTCTAATGTAAGTCATATCAAAGCAGATAACTACTAGTAACCAAGAATACACATTCTCGGACGCATAACACGACGACGTACAAACAATACCTGGCGACTTATTTTAACTTGCAATTCGAGACTACGTTGACGTTCTTCAGCTAAAGCTCGCATAGCCGCCTGCCGATTCTTTTCCGCAGCCTGCACTGCCTTGCGCAATTCCTCCACACGGTCTTTAAAGTCCTGCTGCAAAACCAAATAAATGCGATGTAAATATGCAATGCATGACGCATCACATTTTCTGTTGAAGTGTGTCAAAGAAATGAATCGTACACCATCCATAAATTAGGGCTGGTGACGGCCAAAGCACAAGTACCGGCTGCAAATATAAGTGCCAACATCGCCCATAAGTTGTCACCAATACCATATTTTAGAACCTACGACTTTCCTACGGAAGTTCGCGCTCGGCTGTCATATAGCTACCACTACGAAATTGATAGAAACATCACTAACAACTGCACAACTTATATACAATAACACTTTTAAAAGAGAGAAACTATGACAAACAACAATCCCTTTCGAGGTTCCTTGATCGTACAACCATTCCCAATTCAAATGTGGACACGATGTTCTACAAGACAACGTCCTCACCTCATCCTCGTCCCGCCATCGGTTGCCACCCATCTTGAAAGCCTTGGAATCTGTTTCAGTATCGAAAAGAATGTGCTTGTTATAGATCCTATCGTTACGTTGTGCTGGAAACTGAACCCAGAACTTGTCTCTAGTTTCGTCCTAATCTCCCAAAACCACCAACTTCTAGGAGAGAATGAAACTGAGAAAAAGGTTGCAGATAGAGTTTGATTGCATTTTACTTGATTATCTTTGTAGGCTTGTTAAACTACCTGCAGCATTCAAATCTACTACGTTTCTCACCTCGATTGCGCGCATTAGTCAACCCATTGAAGGGAATCTGACTATCTTGAGAAATTTTCTCGCGTAATGCAGGGAGTCTCTCGTTACTTGCTGATTTTTGCATAGTTTTGTCTGTCGATTCTTGTAAAGAAAATGAGGATGTCTTTGCTTTGGGAGGAACTTGAGAAGTCCTTCCAGAACCACGGCGAGACGTTGGGTCGGTCACAAAACGATGCGCATGACCAAGTGTTTCATCTCCAGTTAATACCTGTCCTTCATACAATATCAAGCGATCTGTACGCCCAACACCATTCGTTGAACTAGGATTTGACTTTGAACGAAGCTTATACTTGAAATTTCCTTCTCCAACTGGAGGCAGATCTAAGCCTAGGAAAACGTTAAGGTGCCTTTTTGGCTTTGTCGAGGTTTTGCCAATTAAGTCATCACGCCAATGTGCTCTTAACAGCCTTCGCCTTACAGGTTGCCCACGTTGTCCATGAAACAACCCTACGACAGAGTATCCAAGACCAAATAGAGCCACCAGCACCCCTAAGAATAGTCCAAATATTGCAGCACTTTTAGGGATTTTGGCTGGCAAATGTCCCCAGTGTAGAGCAGAAGACAAGGTTGACATAAATTCTGCGGCATACAAAAGGGACAAATTAGGAGATTGGTCCACCAACCTCTCAAAATCGAAACACAGACAAGAATGCGTTGATCGAGTAGGCCAGTAAGACTGCAGATACAGGAGCACACCCAATGTTCTACTCCAGCGACTAATTAGCATCATCACATGAAATCTCCTCACAATACTTCAACATTGTCTCTTGATCATAATAGTGAGGAACTGAACAAGAGTAGAAAAAGACCTTGACTGTGCCCACCCATGCTGTTCATCAGTTCTGAAACACGTATGCGAACATCTGCACCTCCTGCATTAACTTCGTCTACCGAAGTAGAATCCGGAAGTTGAAAATCATCGTGAACAATGCTTCCCTCCTGCAGAATGTCAACATCGAAGGAGTTTCAGTTACCTCCTCATCAATGCTGATTGTTAAAAAGAAACGTTACAGACTACTAATCATAGAAGGAGATTATAATCTTAACAGCGCCGGGATATGATCCAATGCACCAAATACTTCGCATCAACCCAGCGGCACATCAGACCTACAACGAGGTCAAAAGCCAGAAATTCACAACTGAAACCCTGATAATAACTGGGAAGTGCCAATCCCAAACTATTCAAGTACTGAACGCAGTAAACAAAGAACACTCACAGAAAATGAAGACCTGTCTTCACTGAGTAGCTTCCACAAAGCTTGTCGAGATGAGGATCCCCATGCACCAGTGGCCGGCACGCCATGCGCAATCTGAAACTGCTGCAATGCTTTCTTTGTCTCTGGTCCAAAATAACTGATAACAACACAGTTTAAGAGCGCGTATTTTCACTATCAAAAAACTCGATAAGAATGTTGAAAAACCACACAAAGTAAAGGATAATTAACTCGTAACTACTGTACATATTCAAAAAAAATAAAAAATTCTGTAACGTTTCTTTTTAACAATCAGCATTGATGAATCTCTTACGCTGTCAATGCTGTACGATTTGGGAGGTAACCGAACCAGTATAATGTTCTCTGTTCATCATCAAAAAAACAACCTTTTAGATATTGAAAACTGGAAAAAGCTCGGTTGTGCTCTGATATGAACTAGTATCACCAGAGCTAGTTTATAGCGAACCATCCCTGCCACAGCCTATACTTACCAAAAAACAGAGAATACTCGAGCGAATCAGAGAACCAGCCATAGAGGCAAAAGATACTATGAACCAACCTGTAAATCCAAAACCTGAGGTCCTGAGTCGTTCTCCCATATGTCGCCCGAAAATCTTAAATCCTGAATCTTTTGATATTCTGAATTAGATATCCCAACCTCCAATCCCCCTCCGTATGGGGGGTTAGTTAGCAAAAAATTCTTCGGTTCGCTACCTTCTCCTGAATCTAGCGAAACACTATTTGTCCAAGATGAGGTACTCTCAATAGGACCGGATTGCTTTCCACCATGACCCCTGCTTCCCCCTCCATTTTTATCATCCTCCCTTGATACACCATTCGCGTAACACCTTATCCAGCGTCTCTTTACTGTGACTTGATTGCATATTCCACGTCTTCTTATCAGATTTGTACTAACCACCACTCTGCTAAGAGATACTCCTGATTCTGAGCCAGTGACGCTGGTACAGCTTCCGTTCACGCACAATATACAGGATTGGTATTTGCATGTCGGCAAGTTCCTACAACTGATTCTTGTTCTAACAAGTCCAGTAATTCTTAGATTCTCTTTCCTGAATACGCTCGTGTGCCATTCCTTGCTCCTCTGAGATACTTCGAGATTCTCGTTGCTCGATAATCCACAATATGGTGGAGCCTGACAACAGCTTTGCAGGAGATCACAACGACTCCCACCAGTCACCATCATCGTGAACAGTCCATGCATTGAATAAAAACATTTAAAGGTCTTTGCGATTCAAGATGATTCATTCCGAAGAAAAGATAAATAGTGTCTCGCCATCTAAACCAGAGGGTAGTCGATAAAAAGAGCTTAACAATGTCGTGAAACTGATCTCATTCCAGGATAATGAACTCAAGAATATGGTTTCCTTCACGGCTTTCCTGCACAAACATGTCCTTAATGTCATTCGATGGCAGCACTTCAAATATAGATATCTAGATTCCAGTCCAAAAACAGCAACAAAAGCTTGAATAACTCACGACGGACATTCGAAAGTGTGAAATTTGAGTGCAAGTGTCTGCATGAACACCACAAACCCCAGTGATCTTCGTTACATAGGCACAATATGTTCAAGCCTTGCGCTCTTCTTGGGAGGAGAGCTCAAGACTTGATGGTTCTGTTGACTGATAAGATTATCATATTTGGCGATATGCACCATTATCAGTATAACGTAACTGATAGTATCTCAAAGCTACGTAATCAAAAAAAGTACGAAAATCATTCACAATTAGCAATCAGCTTCGTTAGATCGACAAATGCAGATAACTTTCAGAAACCTCTAATGGAGAGGTGGAATAAAGGTAATTACAGATAATCTTGCAGTCTACAATCTTCTGCATGCACATAGATATACAGAAGCAGCAACAAAGCTTTTTTTCCAATACTGTAGAGATCCAGATTGTCCACAGATGTAAAAGGCCTATCATCAGGAAGTCACTGAGACGTAGGTTATCTCCTAATATGATCTCTCTTCAGTTGTTCTTCTGGATTGCAAGAGGTCCTTTAACCGAGAACAAGCTATGCAGTGTCCATCATAATTTGAGTGCAGAGCTGTGCATGTTCTTCCTGGAAGAAATGGCATCGCTCATATGCGGAAAACGACACCAACTAAAATAAGGTAGATTCCGACACCATTATACTTCACTATTGAAGAAGTAGGAAATTGATGATCAACCTAACCACGGCACCTGGAAACTGCATCATATAGGACTTATAATCCTAATGACCTAAATAACTGTGAATGTAGGAAACACCACCTTAAATAGTAATTGAATATGTATTAAAAGTTTGAAACAAGAAGAAATAACTCCATAAGTCTTCAGAGACTGGCGGTGCGTGAGTAATCGACGACCCTCCTACATTTCTGATTGAGAGCTACAGTAATCCGGAAAGTTGTTTAGGAACAAAAGCAAGATAGGCGGTTAAGAGCAAGGAGACCGAGACGAAGACATTAAAAGAGAGGCCATTATTAATGCGTCATGTAAATAAACAGCTACTTCAATCGATTAAGTGCTGCTTGATCTGAATGTACAAAACACGTTCAAGGATGTGATCAACTCTGACAGCATTGGACCATCAACTCAATTCCCGGGACAGGGAGAAGCGCATAGCTCATTGCCAATGAATTAGAAAAAACAAAAGCGTAAGGAACCACGCAACAACATTTCGGCACTTATGGATCACTGCACGGACATCCCCGCACATAAACTAAAAGCCTCCCCGTGCGAATACCACCTCGTCGTAAAATGTCACCCGCAATCAAAACTGATGGCAAACATCACAAACGAGATGATAAGCGAAGCGCGGGAAAATGACCAATGAATAACTCACCATCGTCGTGAAATTCCGCCGGACGCCCGCCCGCAAAGAACGGCACTACAGGCAAACTTCAAATCCACGACCCTCCGACCGCCCCTGGCTAGCTCCCCACCACAACGAAGACGACGCGGATCGGTAATCCCGCTCCGCGTGGGGGAACAAACAACCCGATGTGCCGTCAGGGTAACACCTCCTGAACGGCCAATTCCAAACGCCTCCCCCCTTCTCACATCCACAACTACCCTAGACTACTACCTCTTTAACCCGAACACACACTTTTCAGCCACCGGAAACGGACCCTTGCATTGAATGAGCACCAGCAGCAAGCTGGCAACTAATGCACGGGGAGAAACAAAACCCCCTGCGACAACAACGGACAAGGAATCCCCGTAACGACACTAGTCTAAGCCTACGAAACGCAAAACCAAACGAGAGAGAGAATCAAGCTGAAATGATTCCGACTCCCGCCCTACGCCTCGGCGTCTCTCAGTGCGGCACACAAATCGAGCTTACAGTGTGGTTTAATTGTTTCCACTTCGATGAAATCCATGACCACGCACCACCGACCGGCGGCGATGGACACAATCTACCATCGGCGAGGAAGAGCGACTATAGCCTTTGAAATCCATCGTCGCGACGAGGAGGGCCAGTGAATTTGAAGCCCTACCCGAACGAACTCGCAAATCCGACGTCGTTTGAGGCGCGAATTTGATTCGGGGGCCAAGGAGTCGACAACGACGCAAATGTGCCAGTGGCGGGGTGGGAGGTTCCTCGGCGGATTCAAAGTGGCGTAGGGCCATTGGATGGACCAGGTTCTAATCTGCCACGTCGGAGATTTCTGCGTGCTCCCATTGGTTCCGTTCGTCCAGATAGAGTCGTGGCCGGTGCTGAGCTGGAGCTCGTGCAGGAGTGGCCGAGACCCCTTTGGACGGGTTGTCGGATGCCAGAGCGGGTTGGGCCTAATTCCCCGTTGTTCTCTATCGCCCGTTCTAATATCCAGGTCCCATCCCACGGAATCGAGATGTTGTCCCTGCCTTCCAGAGGCATGGCAATTGTACTCTCTTCAACCCACTCTATTTCTAATAGAATAAAATTTGATTGTATAAAATATGTAATTCAGAAATTTTTAAATTCATGAAAAAAAAACTCTGTAGTGATATTTTTATTTAGAAATTCAGAATTAATATTTAAATGAAATAAATAAAAATAATAAAAATAAAAAGTTTTATTTTATAAATTAAAATTTTCTATTATTTTTACATAAATTCAAATAATTTTAATTGAAATATATATATATATATATATATATATAGGCTTAGATAGATCAAAATATTGATATGTACTATTTTTTTGAGTTGATTTTAAATCCAAATATAAATTTGAAGCACTTTCTAAAAAAACATTGGTATCAAGGACATGAATCTCAAAGAAAAAAAACTCAATATACTATTGTATTACTCAAAAAGATTAGAAAGTCAATCAAAAATGACAATATATTGAACTAAAATGGCTATTGTCAAAGACAAGAAGACTATAAAGTCTTGAAACAAGATTAAGGACTAGAAAGGCATTGATAAGAGTATAAAAGGCTTCACTTTTGATTCTATATATACTATCTAACTAGAAGCTATACAACAATGTTCTGTAAGACCTCCAATACATGTTAACTTTGGTGGACACATGTCTTAACTTACAAGGCAAATTTTCAATATGTATGCCATATAATTAGCTTATTTTACAAGCTATCAACATTTATAGTGTGTAGTTAATTTATTGACCAAATTTCTATCTTATCAATCAATTATAAATATGTATAAAGTCAAATTTACATCTATAAAGCTTTTAAGAATCTTTTTTAGAATATATTATGAAATTAATCAATATTTATCTATTTTTACTTAATTATATAGCTAATTATTGGAATAAATATGTATATCTGTGATATTACTCCCTTTTTTAGAGGTGAGTTCCATGATGAGTAGTCATCATCTTTTATAGATCTTGCTATTCTTCATCTTGATTTTGATAGGTGTTATTGATAAAAAAAAAAAAAAAAAAAAAAAAAAAACTTAATTTTCTTTGCTATATTTTTTAGATTCTTTGTTGGCTCTCATGTGCATACACTAATATCATATCTGCACCAATGAACAAGAGATTTCAATCTATATTGGTGCTATCTTAAATCTAAAACTACTTCTATTTCAAACTCTTGATTATTATCCATTTCTGTAAAAGACGTGGTATTTATCTTCTTCTAAGATATTCACTATCTTATATGGCTCAAGAAAAGATATTTAAATTATGAAATGGATCTTTATAGACTCCGATTGATATAATCGATAAGCAATAAGATTGACTTGATTACTAATAGAAAATAGTCTAAGACTATAATAATCCAATTTATCATAAGGGCAATTAGTCTTGATATTGTGACAAAGTAATCATACCTTATTATCAACGTGAAATTAAGGTTGTTCCTTGCAATAGGCATCTACATTAGTATTTTTTTGTTCTTCAGATTCTTTTAAATGTGCCTTCATTATTGTATGTATCTCAAATAAATAATTTACTAATTCTTTTGCTACAAGAATATCAACTTATGAGAATTCAAAAACATCAAGACATGGATGACAACCATAATTAACAAAGAAAGGTATTTGTTGTATAGAAGAATGTACCATATTATTATAAGCAAACTCTACCAATGGTAAAAAAAATTGTCCAATCATCTATTTGGTAATTGATAGTACATTATAAATACTACTCCAGAACTTGATTTATGCACTTTGTTTGTTTATCAATTTGAAAATATACAGCAAAAGAGAGCTTTATATCTACCTTTAAAATCTTAAAAAAGATTCTTTAAAATCTTGATACAAATTAAGCCTTCTTAATTAATATAATATTCTCAGATAATCCATGATATTAATAGATATTATAAAAAAAAGCTTAGAATTTCTTCACCTATGATAGACTTTATACATAATACAAAATGTGCCATCTTGGTAAAACAATCTACTATCCTAAATATAAAATCATACAAACATGAGACTAAAAGATCCATAGAAACAAAAGACTATGGTTATTCCAAAATAACTAATGGTTGAAAAAGTCTATAAAGTTGATGTTGAGTACTTTTTAATCTTGAACAAATATCACATAATTGTACAAAGACTTTGACTGCCTTCCATATTTGAGGCTATCAAAAATCTCTTAATATTAGCTTCAAAGTCTTGTTGTATCCAAAATAACTAATTGTTCTAAAGCCATGACAAGTTTAAAGAACACATAATTATACTTTGCTTATTAAAATGTATAATCATTCTTCAAAATAGAATAGATTATTTTTAAACTTGAACATAAAAGTATTATAAAACTTGGAAGAATTATACTTAATATCATAAATAAGAAGATCAAAGGTCATACAAATTAAACTTGCTTAAAAAAGATTGAATCAATAAATAATGTTGGTTTTATTGCTCAAATGTAAAAATGCTCTAGCTTCAAGAAGATTAATTTTTGGTGATTAAAAGTTATATTTTCTTTTTTAATATAAAATAAAAATATCTAAAAAGGATATTCTTGTAATATATATTTTTTTATTTGGAAAATGTACCACGTACTTAGCACTCAAAGACAAAGTTATATTTTATAAGTATATGAGAAATCCTAATAGGTTTCACTTATATAATAAGAATGTAATTTTAATTTTAATTCATAAGTACTTAAAGCCAATACAAAGTCCTCAAAATCATTCTTTTTAATAATCTCAACTATATACAAACTCTAATTCCTTACTACTTTTATAATTAGATAATTTTGATTTTTCTTTGCAAGTCCTAATCCTAATCAATGAGCTTCAGTAAGTTAAAACTCCTAATCTAACTATCTACTTGGTACAAAAATATTCACATAAATGCCACTATATGTCTTTTATATGTTTAGGAAAATTTAGTCCAATCCAACTTACAAATTGTGAAAAAGTGTCTAAAAAAACTGCATTGATATTACTTGGCGACCAATTCAAAAGTTGCTATAGATATTCCAGTAGTAATTTTTCCTTCTCTAGTCATTAACTTCAATTCAAAATTGATATCTAACTTGATCTTAAAGTCTTCTAACACCATGCTAAATTTCACCATGTTTCAATTAGTGGATCTTTAGATATCATAGAAATTCTATTTGACTCCAAATTACCAACTTCAAATATCATCTTATATCAAAAACCAGATATCTTCCAACTATATTTTTAGATTAATATAAAAGTTTATTCACATTTAATACATCAAATCAATCAAGTATTATTAATTTTTAAATTGTAGATGTGATACCAATTGCACAAACTAGCTAAAAAAGCTAGCCCTAATTATATTGCATAAATTTGAATTCACCAATATAAACTCTAACTTTAAACATCAAGTGCAAAGTCATTCCAAATCTTATGAAAATAATCCTTATGTTTTTCAAATAAGCTTAAAGCTAGCTTTTTAATTCTTATAGCTAATCTCCAAATACCTCCTTATTTTGTCCTAGGTGGCCATTTTAGTGGTTGGAGGATTGATTTTAACCATATTCCACTAATGGTCAACCCTTGAGTATCAATTTAACCTATCCTAGGGATTTTTTATTCTAATCTTATCATCAACATAATTCTAGTATCAACCATATTAATTATTTATTTCTTTTATTATGTTTTTATCAATTTGTGGCCTTTTTAAGACAATGAAAGAATTTCTATAGCTTGAAAGATAAAATTAATAATCAATTTTTAAACTACTAGCTATTGAAACAAAAAAATAAACTAAAAGGATTTTATAAAATCCATGTTTAAATGTCTTGAATTATTATCAAAAAAAGATGATGAAATATTCATTAGAAAATTATTTTTAATTATATTTTCATCATATCATCATATTACAATATGATAGTGTCTAACAAACCTTATTATTTTTTGGGTGGATAAGTGATCTTAAATTCAAATCTTAATAAGGACATATTCCAATGAACTTAGAAACAATTCAAAATATGTGTCAATATGAAGTACTCGAGGTTCTTTTGATCTATATATATATTGTAACATGTCTAATAGTACTTTCTAAATAATGACACTATTCTTGAAATGAATCCATGATTATAAGAAGCTCTTTACCATGGATCTTGTAGTTAATCATGGCTATTGAAATTTTCTTGAAAAGAAAAGCTAATAAATGGAATTTATCATCTTTTTTTATTTGTGGCAAAACAACATATAAAAATTTCTCCAAAGTGAGGTAATTTGCTTTATTTAAAGAGAAAATTAGTACTAAAAAACTAAATTATTTATTTAAAGGTGGATAGTCTGCAACATTTAAAATACAACAATAGAAGTGAGGTAATCCACTCACTTTTAAATAGGATAAAACAATGAGTTAGCACTCTTATTGAATTGCCAAGAATATGATTTTCAAAAAAAAAAAAAAAAAAAAAAAAAAAAAAAAAATCTCAATATATTCTTATATTAATCAAAAAGTTTTAAAAAATCATTTAAAGATAGTAATATATTGAACTGGAATGGCTATTGTGGAAGATAAGTAGACTAGAAAGTCTTGAAATAAGATTAAGGACTAAAAAAGCATTGATAAGAGTAAAAAAGGCTTTACTCTTGCTTCTATATATACTATCTAACTAGAAGCTATGTAGCAATGTTCTATAAGACCTCCAATACATGTTGACTTTATTAGACACATATTTTAACTTGCAAGGCAAGTT